GGGGGGGGGGGGGGGGGGGGGGAGGTCCGAAACCGCGAACACACACATCGCCAGTCGTCACTGATGATGAAAATTCATTCGCGCGGAGCGAGCGATACTTGCTCTCTCAACTTGCCCCGGCGAATCGTGCCGGGAACTGTGTGCTGCAGCCATTAATCTTTCCGTGCACCCTCTTCGGAGTTCTTCAACTTAGCGGCTGCGTGAATAGCGCGCGACCACAGCATAGACCGTGTACTGTCTGTAATAACAAAGTGGTAAAGACGTAACACAGCCCCTCGCGCGCGCCGCACAGCCGGTGGTGCGCAGCCCTGGATATGAAAGCCAGTCTTTAAGGCACAAAGAATCGGGGCGATTGCGAGCAGCGGGCAAACTCAGGGCAATAGAAAAGCGCACGTGAATGAGGACGAATGTTAAAAATGGCTATCTACTAGCGAATTATTCATACGCATTGTTAGAAGCGATGACCGTACGGGGAAAGGGAAGAAAAGATGGCGTAAGTATTCGACTCTGCGAAAAAGCGTGACACGCGAGTATCTCCGAAACGGCTCGAGCTTTCGACAAGTTCCTTCGGATCGTTTGCGTTTCGTGCGAGGCAGTCGAGAGGGGTAGCTTCCTCGGGGGTGGTTTCATGCGTGCGTGCATGCGTGCGTGTGTGCGTGGTGTTCGCGTGCGTACACGGAGAGAATTTTGTAGTAAAAATTGCCATAGAACCTTGTGAGGCGAGAAGCGGATCGACATTCTGCTGACGTGACTGTCCCTTCATCTCATATGCGCCACTTATATCTTAGGGGCTAAAACGTGCTGTTACAAAATTTGCCATGTCTCTAGCGAAATTTGCTATGTTTCTAGCGCGACTACTGAAGAACATGATAAAATTGAAAAGAATTTATATGAGGAGCAAACTACAATATTCTCTCCGTATAGCGATCAAACGGCTAAATCAATGCAAGAGAAGAAATATCAAAAGATCGGATATCGGGCAAAGTTGTGAATCGGAGATTACCTGCTTGCGAAAACGGTAACCATTGAGATATTATATGCGAAATTACAAAATTAAAGGATCAGTCGAAACGCAAGTGCGGGCTCACATATACATACACGAAATAATAATGAAAACGCGTCAATCGCGTCTCTCTAGTCATCGCGCCGTCGACGAAGGAGCATACGGTTTTAAAAGAGAGAGACGTGGCTTAGAAAATACTTAAAAGTTACACGCGAAATGTGTATCATATATATACATATGTATGTCAGGCAGTAATCCGTTTATTGTGAAATGACGCGTCCAGAGAAGTCGGCGCGCGCGTAAAATTCCGGACTTAGAAATAATTCTTATCGCTAGCGTCGCGAAACTTTGCGCGAACAAGCGGATGATGAATATCAAGAGGGAGCAAGTGGGGGAATACACACGAATACGACGAAGGAACCGATTCCAGAGCACGATCGAAACGGGAATGCAGCGACAAATCATGAGGTAAGATCAAGCACTCAGTGTATACATAAATGTGGTCGCGTAACGCGATGGCGCCGTATAAAACTCAGTTACAAAGTAAACGTGTATATATGTATACATGTGTGTGTGTATATATATGTATACATATCCACATATACACACACACACACACACACACACACACACACACACACACACACACACACACACACACACACACACACACACACACACACATGTATGTATGTATATGTATATATGTGTATATGTATACATATATGCACACACACAAAAGCAACTTTACGATTGTGCGCAATAAAATATCGAGGTTACAATACGTACGTATGTGTATACCACAGAGTACTACACTTACATTTTATTCTACATAAGGAGAGATGAGTCGCACGTTATTAGTGTTATTCGAATAAACCGACGCGTCTCTTTGAAGCAGACAGATTTGCAATGCGCGGGATATATACAATGTATCGATCCAATTGTCGAGGTCTCCTGCGCTCGAAAAGAATGCCTCCTTACGGGCTCGTTAATATCGCCATCGACACACGCGAGTCACTTTTCGTTACCGCGGAATCGGATCGAGGAGAGAGAGCGACGGTAACGGTCGTTATTGCGCGGCCGAGTCCAGTTGTCCAGCTGGAGTTGATGAATTACGCGAATTGAGACCGTGAAGAGTCCGGAACGCACTTTTGCGAGAGAATTCGTGAACGCGCAGTTACGGTTAAATCCGTTGTCGGACACACAAGCGACGATTGTTCGCCAAGGGCTCGCCGACTGTTCGGCGAAAACGGTGTATTTTCACTCGATCGCACACGCCTATATATGATATGCTTTTATCGTTCTCTTCTGCACTTCCTTCTCCCCCTTCTCCTCACACAGGCACAACACGCAGATATATACGACGTAGAAAGTGGCGGTCAGCTACTACTGTTACAGGAACGGGGCTGTAACCGGTAGTGCTCCCTGGAGCGCACTCCGTGTGCAAAAGGGCGGGGATACGTTTCTACCGCTGATATTACAAATGATATCTTTCGCGAATTTTTTTTCTTCTTGTCTCGGGGGAGGGCAGAGGAGTTTCACGGATTGGTCCCGGTGATATTCACGATGTGCGACAGGGTGACACGAGAGCCCGCATTCTCACCGCAATTTGCTCGCCAAGAGCCGCGCGATTTTCTCGCCTCTCGCGAGAAACACAGGATCGGACGAGTCTTGGGACTGTCGCGGTGAACAACGAGCATTAACACAACGTGCACTGCGGTGAGAAGCGAACGTCGTACGTCCGCAGATACGTGCGAAGATCTACGACGAGGGTGTGTATGTACTAAGGGTTAGTATCCCTACAGGATAGAACTTGGACTCGCTCCTCAAAATGGCGTATTTAATGTAGTGGTCAAGATTATAAGAAATTTTGGCGCCAAGATTTATAATAAACTTTGGTTTCTGAAGTTCTTATTGTCAACAACTCTCCAATAAAAGTTAGTGTATAGTCAATAGCAACTTACTGAACGTAAAATAAAGAATTATATCCTTTTTCAAAAAAGTGAAATCTATTAATTGAGTCGCTTCATAATCTCGCGATATAATGAATCCTATGATTGGTTCCGCCATTTTGAGAGGTCTGTAAGCCGAACTAAACAAATCTAAAGAATGGTCTATCTTCTAAGGACACCACTAAGGATGTATGATGCGCGTCAATCGCGAAACGAGCATGCGACGGAAGAAACAACTTCGTTAGTGTAATTGAATTTTCTATTACTTGGAGACCAGATGAAAAACTCGGTTATACACTGAGAGCAAAAAATATCTGTAAAATAAGCAAATATTTATTCGATAGATATTTACAACTATATTTGCTTAAATCTAAATTTTTTTTTATTTATAAATCGGAAAAACGATTGTTTTCATGAAAAGCTAAGATTAAAGAAAAGTCTATTCCTCCCTTAAAAAATATTTTATATCAGCAAAAGTAAACATGTTATCAGTATCTACTTAGAATAAATATTATTTATTTTACAGATATTTTCTTCTGTCAGTGTAGGAACAGAAAGATTTCTACGTTTTGATGCAGCTGAATGTTCGGACGAATGTTTTCGGTCACAGTAACGGAGATGTTACTTCCTATCGACGAATTTTTCGTCTGATCCCCATTACACGGACTGAAATTGTTTTTTCGTGCAACGATGCGTTTCCCTACGTGATCGGTTTCCTCTCAGATTTTTGCCGCGGGAGTAACGTTATTAATAACAATGGGGCAGGGGGGAGGGGGGCTGATACAGGGCGGCCTAATATAGACGACGACAGTTGGAAGATGGAACGAGATTCTTCCGCGACGGAACGATCGACGTTTTCCTTTTCTTTCTTTCTTTTCTCCGTTTTTCATCGAGGTGACACGTATAGACTCGAACGATGATATCGACAATAGCGTCGTGTAGCCTCAACGCGCCGCGATAAAGTTTGTGCCCCCGTTTCTACTGTGCGCGCATATCCCTCGCCACAATGTGCCTTGGATCACCGTCTATCTTAAATTTAGAAGCCACGGGTTGATACACGATGTTTACGTGAGTCACAAACACGGTGTGGTCTGGTGGACGGTATTAGATATTTGGCTGCACTCTTGCGGGATATTTTCGTTTTACGCCTGCCTATTAATGATTATACCCGGAACGACGGTAACAAAATTGAGACCGCGGGAAGTAAGTAAAACAGACTGAAAGGTGACTCGAAAAGATTCGTTTGGTCTTCTTGACGAGAGATCAGAAAGAAACAAAGGTGATATTCAAACCGAAATTGCTTTTGATCGCGATGTCGCACGTTCGCAGATGAGAAACACTCGTAGAGAGAGAAAGAGAGAGAGAGAGGGAGAGAGATTACGATTATTTTTGTAACAAATGCTCGAGATGAAAGTAGGTCGCGAACGAGAAACGATAAGAGTATGTGCTCCGTCGCGAGCGTAAATCATAAAACATGTCGTGATACGAGTTATTATCAAACGGAAAAGGATAAGATTCCGTCGTACATGATGATGTTTCGATTATCGATAATACGTAGCGTTAAATACATCGATTCGTTTATACGCTATCATCAATGCGCGAGAAGTGCGTTACTTGGCGAATCCTTAAAAAATACAAATCACGTAAGCGAAGGAAGGAGGTAAGTTACTCTAAAGAAACGAGTTGTCTACTCGCTACACAACTTCTCCTTGATTTCCTAAATGCAGTTTGCTTATTTAGATCGATAAATGACTCGTGATAGTGTAACCGCCGAGAGATTCTCGCATTCACTTCATTTCTCTTTTCGTCCCGACGATATATATCAGGATTGTGTCGCCGATTTCAAGATCACGCGTTTGCATTTTCCACGCGACACGGTCATTTCTCATGTAGACAATGTAGACAATAAATTGTGTGGAATATTGCAATTTATATTAAAATATACTAGAAAGGGTAATTAAATTATGAGTTACCGCAACTGCTTCGGATATTAATTATAAATGCAATATTCAAGAGGACCAACACAAATGTATGAAATTGTCATTGCATTATACGACAGACCGGTAGATTTAAGCTCTTTGTATGGGTGAGAATATAATTAGAGAAAATTCTGTGGAGCTTAGCTCGTTCAGGAAACAATGTTTATCAATCGTTACACATTAGGAAGATTCTAGAGATCAAATAAAAGTACAGGTCTTTCCTAATTAATTAATTTGAGCAAGCCCATACATTCTTCGGACGACACACATAGATTACTCATCGTCTACATATCACAATTTACACGCCCAATCCTGATATATATATACATATATGATATATATCCATTGTTTGTATCCGGAGTCTGCAGTCCAGGCCGGAGGGATTTTTATCTACGCTTCCGCGGGACCAAGACAGCCGGAAGTTTGGGTTAACCACGGCAGTGGAGAATAATCTTGATTGCAGTTTAACCCAAAACCTCCACCGGTCGACTCGGACGGCACGGAAGCCGTAAGTAAAAATTCCCCTAGCCTCAATATACGACCCGCCGAAATGAAACGCGAAGAAAGAAAAAGGGACGCGAAAGGGGATTGATTGGCCGCCGTGAGACTCTCGCACTCACTCTTTCCGTCCCGACGGTACGTATGCCTATTATATTCTGAAATCTAGAATTAAGCAGGAATCAAGATTATTCTCTATTGCTGGGCAGTTTCCAGACGGACGAACAGTCCCGCCGCATCACATGGTATTGCTCGGTAGTGGAGAATAAACTTGGTTCTAGCTTAATCCACGATATATAAAAGGACAAGCTGTAACGTCGCGCATATAATGGCGGCAGCATAGTGGAACGTGCCAATGGAGAATCGGTCTCAAATGCCGAAATCAATTACACGCGCGAAGAATACACAGTCCCAATCGAAATCCGTGCGAACGCGGAATATAACTGAGCACGACATTCGCGCCGGAGAAGCGAAGTGAAAATCTACACCGATGTAGCGCGAGTGACGAGAACGAGGGAGGATGTGTGGGAGGTTGATGATCGATCGTTCTAGGGGGAGTGTAATCAGTAAGAACCGATCTGGCGAGATCTCTTCGTGGGCTACCCTAATCGTAATCTGCCGCGCTAACTCGCACTACTACCGCTAGTGATCGTTTACTGCTTTTCGGACTGCATTTGGGACCAATTCCCAGTTTGGTCAAGGAGAGAGCGCGCTATTAGTTTGGACGAGTGCGCATTCACGGGAACGTTACATCTCATCTTTTTACATCATGGCTTAACCCAAACCTCCGGCTGACTTGGTCCCGTTGGTGCGTAGGTCAGAGATCCTCCGGTCCTCCTCTGCAACCCACCATACGAGAAAAAAAAAGAAAAAGAGACACTAGAGATTGTCCGGCACGGTCGAGATTCGCAAAAAAGTCGCGACCTAGCTCGATTATTCTTTTCTTCTCTTCCTTTTTTCTTTTCTTTTTATTATTCTCGTCAATTTCTCGATATATTATTCATAGCAGGAATGACCTCGCGTGCTGTGCCAATAGTCTGCCTTAGAGACACGTCCAAGAACTTTGTTATATCACGTGCGATTTTTATTACGTACATGTAGCTGGAAATCGTACATTGTGAGCGCACAAATTTATATACATATATATATATATATATATATATATATATATATATATATATAAATAAATGCGAATGCTACGCGCATTCCGACGCAACGTTTTACGTCTCGTGCACGATGACGTGGACATTAACACGCGAAATTTAAATTCGACGGTATACGCGCGAGAGATTATCCGGGGCGCAAACACAGGCCCTTTGAAATGGCAGTTTTGCGAATTGCGATTTATGCTAATTCCCGCTGTGTGCGATCCGCCCATTGTTTTTCGGCTCGCGGTCGTTCGCGATTATATTTCAATAACGCGCTTCGCGTCGTATGTAAATATCGCGCGAATATATACTCGGAGTGAGAGATCGCCTTCAAACAACGCCCAGATAAGTCATCTAAAAGTCCAAGTACAATGCATCGCGTGATGCGGTCTGTCGTGAAAATATCGCGAGCAAAGGTGAGCTATGTAAGCCGCTGCACAAACGAATACGACAATCCATAATCGACGTGCGAGAGCAACGTGTCCCGAATTCAGTCGAACGCGTTCGTCCTACAAACGAACTTTCTGCAGCGAGTCGTTAGATCGCGATGGACAAGCGCGGACGGAATTCGGCGAATTGAAATCACGGAGTTAAGTTGTTGGCTCGTTGTTGCTCCAATCGCGACCCGATCTTTCTCCCGCGCGCAACAAACCGCCGCACACCTCTCTCGCTGTACCTTGCGCTGTCTCGCGGGCATAAATGAATAAAGCTAAAGATCAACAGGGGTCTGGAGAATCCGCTACACCCTCAAAAGAGAGGTGAGCTCGGCTTACCTGCTTTCGTGGCGAACGGATCCTTGGGATGATTCGTCTTAATGGCGTTCATCCTCCGGTTCTGCGGCCCTTGGCCTTGGCCAGTGCACGCGACGCCGGGCGTCTGACCCATGCCGGGGCCGAGGGGCCCGGTGGTGACGCTACCCCCTCCAGACTGCAAATGCGACATTTGCTGGCCGCAACCAGGCGGCCCGATGGTGCCGGGTCCGCCGGGCATGCCGGGTGGCGCACCTGGTGCCCTCACCGCACGTGGTTGCTCAACCGGCAATACACGGCGTCTCTTCTTCGGTAGCTTGGCTCGCGCCTGCGTGTGACTGTAATACATCGCAAAGTTGCTAACGATCACGGGCACCGGCAGGGCGATCGTGAGGACACCGGCCAGTGCGCAGAGCGCACCGACGAACATCCCGATGTACGTCTTCGGCACCATGTCTCCGTAACCGACGGTGGTCATCGTAACCAGCGCCCACCACAGACCAAGAGGTATACTCTTGAAGTCGTTTTTCGGATTGTACTGAGTGCGTTCGGCGTAATAGACCAGGCTGGCGAAGATGACGATGCCGAGTACGAGGAAGAACACCAACAACGTGAGCTCCTTGGCCGAGGCGCGAAAGGTCTGTATCAGAATCTTGAGGCCCGAGGAATGGCGGGTGAGCTTGAACAGCCTCATTATGCGTATGATGCTCAAGAATTCGAGGATGTCGGCGTTCTCCAGGTGGGCGGCAAACCGCTGCAACGCTAAATCGACATAGAAGCTTAAAGTAGCGACCATGTCGATCAGGTTCACCGAGCTCTTGATGAAGACGCAGCGATTCGGGCTCGCTGTGATACGTATCAGGAACTCCAAAGTGAACCAGGCGTTGCAGACGCACTCGATGTAGAAGAAGACGTCGTGGGCGTTGGTGCGGGTCTTGTCTATCACCCAGGACGTCACGTTGTCAGTCTTAACCGAGCGATTCACGATTACCGGCACTCGCATGTCCGGATGGGTTTTCAAGCAAAACGAGAGTATCGAAACGCAGATGAAGAAAACGGAGACTATGCTGATTATCTGAAAGATCATCGGACAAACGATACGCACGTTAGTTTGGCTCGAGCTGGCTACGTGAGATGACGAGCGAATGCTAAAGACGGGCTGAAAACGCGCCTCATTCCTCTTTTGAATCGGACGAACAGGCACCGAATTAAAGTTACGTATCGAAAGCGCTCTCACGTCGTGCACCAACGTCGCGACGCGACCTGAGGTCGTACCTTAGCTGCGACGGAGGAGTAAGGTTCATCGAAGAGTGACCACATCTGGGGCTTGAGCTTCTGCCACCACGTGAGAGATCCCTCGTAGTACGCCTCCTCGAAGCCGAATTTCCTCGCCAATTCCTCTTCGGTAGGCTTCTCGGTGTCGAGGTCCAACCTGTCGAGGACCGTCAGCGTTTCCTGCGTATCCCGATGCTGCGGAAGGGCGTCAGGTCGAAGAGGGTGGGAAGAAAGAGAGATGCAACAACGATTGTTATTCGTACCTACGAAACTCTTTCTCGAATGTGCTTTTTTGTGCTTCGCCTTGGGACAGAGATAAAGCGCGCGTAATAAAGCATACGTTGTGTGCTCTCCTCACGAGTGAGGACGGAACGGCCCGTCTCGGCTTCGCTCAGCCTGCCTGCCTGCCTGCCTGTCTGCCTGCCGGCAGGTTCGTCCGTCTTGCGCATGTATATTTATTCGAGTCTAACCTACATCCGAGAGTTAGTTTTGAGATTCTACTCGCTGAGGATTAATCTGTGGACCGTGCGCTATTGTGCGATTGTGCACCTTCCATACTTTAGACTTTACGCAGTATTATTCATTTCCAAGATGACAAGAGACGGATTATAGGTTGGCTATTCTACCGTCGCTCTCACTGATGTTCGATCTATTTTCGGGCAGCACAAACCGCTAAAGGACGCCTCAGAGATGTCCTACACGGAAAGAAAGAGTTTGGTGGTTGGGTTAAGCAATTCCTAGTGAAATATGAACGAACCCTAGAAAATTCTCTGGTTGATATTACCAGGACTCGGTTCAAGTTGACAAAATTTCTGGCCGGTTTGAGCAGAACTCTGGCAAGATCAACCGAAATTTTCTAGTTCCTTCATATTTCATCAGAAATTGTTTAATTCACTCAAACCATTTTCTTTCCATGTATTGTACTTAAGACGATTCTTTCAGAATATCGTGCTGCCCGCGTTTCCGTTTTCTCGTCAGCTCGGAAACGACGGACATTATAAGTGAATCTAACAGTACGATCTAAAAATTGATCGTAGCGAAATGCGTGCGACGTGAGATCGATCGCACGTGTGCGTGGGTTCTGGACAGAGCGCGTTAAAGTTAAAGGAAACATCGTTAATTACAGGGATTCAGCCGAGAGCACGCGGAGGTGGCAATTGACTCGTGGGCGCGATTCCCGGTATAGAAGACGTATGCAACACTTCCCGACGATATGACGAATCACCGTGCGCGAAAATAGAAGTATACGTTTGTGTATACACCGTGTGGCCCGGTTTTGAAATATGATAGTTATCTCGGGAACCGGCCGCGGAAACTGGCGAATAATGCCCGAGCAAATTGCGAAACGTGTAACAACGTCGGGCCGCGCGGCGCAATCCGCATCGATCAATTCCACAGGATGCATCAAGGTTGTCCGTTGTCACGCCGAGATCTCGCGATGTATCGCGCGATCGGTCGTGAGTTAGCGCGCTTCTAATTCTAGTCCTCGCATCTACACGCGCGCACGTGCACGTCACTCGAAATTCGCGGTGAAGAGCTGGCCGGCTTCGATTACGCGTGCGGCCTTACACACTTGGATGCGATTAGGCGCGTGCACCGGGGTCATCATTGTCGCGCGAATATACCTGCGTGTAGGTCATCCAACAGCAAGGCTCGACCTGATTGGAGTCGAGCCCCCAGAATTCGAGCTCCTCCTCGAAGAGCGGACCGCACACGTCCGTGGGATAGTGCAGCTTGCCGGTGCGATAGTAGTTGAGTACCTGGGCGAAGACACCCGGGTGCCTGTCGAAGAAATACTCGTTGAGGATCGGGTCGTAGTTGGCGAGCGCCTCGGTCAGCCTCGAGAGCCTCGTCGCCGGGATCTTCTTCAGGGTCGCCTTGTACGTCTCGTGCCGGATTCCGCCCACGTTCAGAACCACGCGGTTCTCCGCGTCCATGTTTATCAAGTTCATTTTGATCACGGCTCTGCTACCGCCGACCCCGACTCAAGGAAACCCATGAGATCTGCGAACAATTAGCGCTTCTAGATCGCGTGATCTCGAATCGGCCGCTTTGTCGTTTCCACCGCGGGGGGCAATCGAGGGCTGCCGTGCGGTCAGCCAGCAGAGCTCGAGGCTCGCTCGAGCTTCCGCGATTCGCGCCCTTTTAAACGGAGAAAATTCATTATCGGGTTATTTAAGCGAGAATGAATTTCGAATTAATTTGATTAAAATTTCGGACACCCCCCTAATGGTCGCCGAAATCAAATTGCGGAACTTTCGGCAGTCTCATCCGGCGCGGATGAGATTGCTTTGTTTCGTTGGAGAACACGTGTGGATTTCTCAATGTTATGTCGGAGTCATCGCGCGCGAGGGTAAAGCTTAATTGCGCGAAATTGAAACGCGGAACGCGCGCGACACCCATAATCTCGTTCCATTACGCATTAAAGTCATGTTCGCGCGCGATTAACGCCTAAACCGGATTAGTCCAGAGCTGCGCTCTCGTCGCGCGAGATGATTTTATCCTGACGTATCCTCGCATATCCCGGTTCCGTCAACTGCTTGCTTTGATATCCTTGTAATCGCATTCGGAGTGCATTCGGTACAGTCGACGGACCGTGTCCTAATGGTGTCATTGCTGCTTTGAATTCCGCTCGTTATGTTTCAAAGACCGCGCGGCGACGGCGCGCGCAAAACGGGATACCACTCCACTTAATATAATCACGATAAATGTGACGCTTGACATTTAATCAGGAGCTGCTTACATCACAAGCTTACATCACGTAGTCGCTCGTGGCTCGCAAACACCGGAATTTGCTCCGGCTCTTTAAAGTCTCGCGTTTCTTGCGTGAGAAAAGAAGAGGAAGAGGACTACATTCATCCGACTTTCGTTTCGCGTCTACGCAATGCAACGAGCAAAAAAGGCAATAATTAAAGTGTACAGGAGTATACAAGATGTTGTACTCAACATATAGATACTCAGTACGACTGGTGTGATCTGTGCGTTTCGCTGATAGGCGCGCAAAGTCCTGCGTGATCTTAGTAGACCTTGATGGAATGCTCACTTGCGTACTTTCTTTCCTATGAAGTTTGCAAAGTGAGCATCACTTTTACACAATTACGCACGCCTACCAGCGAAGCCAATAGATAACCCGTCGTATTGACCTGTATGCAAGTGCAACAGCTCGTACACTGAGATTACAGCAGCAGAACCCTGAGATTACACGCGATCGTGACACGAAACGAGAAGCATACGCGGCAAACGGAATCGAGAATAGGATTAAATTGCAAATGAAAAATTGAAACGCACGCGAGAGACTGAGAGAGAGAGAGAGAGAGAGAGAGAGAGAGAGAAAGCGATGGAAGCTGTTGTGAAATCGTCTATCATAGCTATGCCGCACGGTTATCTCGCGCGTGTGACATCCTCCACGCTCGCTCGCGACCGTTTCTCATCGAGTTACTTGAGGCGTGAGTTCGCCTCTCGAGCGGGAACGCTCTCGAGTAACCTTTCCGTGGCCATTTAGCATCGACGGTCGCGTACCTGGCCGCAAATTATGCAAGTGGAAATGATTAAAACCGTGCGATACACCTCGATTACGCGCGGTACTTCTTGTCTCATTATAAAGCAGGGCACGGTCAAGTTCAAAGGGGGATCCGGCGCGCAGATGAGATCATACGTACGTACGCGATGAACGCTTATATAGCCGCGTGATATTTTGCCGCGTGAAAATGAAAAAAGAAAATGCAACGAGGGGAAAAAAAGTAGTAGCGTGTAGCGAGAAGGGCGGCGCGTAAATCAAAGGGACCGGAGCGTGTATCGGTTTTTCAATCCTGCGCGCGTGTCGCTTTGTGTGCCAACTGCTCGCAGGCCTCCGTCACGTGACAAGCCGACAGGCCATGTTCCCGCGACTGTTCCCGACGGTACGGCCTTTCAATTATCGCATCACACGCTCGGGGTGCGCGGTGTCGCGAACCACCTGCCAGCGAGTGCCACATCGGGGGCTCTGACGTGCACCAGGCGAGGTCGACGCGCCTGAGTCCTCGAATTAGCGCGCATGGACGTGATTCTAAATCAACCCTGATCGCGCGAGCCGCCGCCGGTGGTGGAAGTGGAGGTAGTGATGATAGTGGTGGTGGTGGTGGTGGTGGTGGTGGTGGTGGTGGTGGTGGTGGTCGCCGCGGCGGGAAACGTCTAGTAGCGACGAAATCCGATCGAATCCTCGAGGTCGGTGCGCATTCCCGTGACGTCATCCGCGTATCTTCGCACGTGCACGAGCGAGCGCATCTCGGATGATCGACCGCGGAAGTCTCGGCTACGTCCTAGTTTTTACGCGAGCGAACCTAACGAATCGTTTGTCCACGAACGAGCTACAAATTAGCGTTAGGGGTCGACGGCGACGGCGACGACGACGACGACGACGACGACGGCAGCGGCAGCGGCAGCGACGGCGATGGCGGCGGCGGCGGCGGCGACGGCGGCGGCGGTGGCGGTGGCGGTGGCGGCGGCGTCAGGCGGCGTCGGTCGACCCCTTGTCGCGCGCGAGAATCGATAGTCTGCGTGCACGAAGGGCCGATAAGCGCCCCGTACGGCTCGTCGACACCGCCACCCGCGACGTTTCGCGTCGCTTCCATGGATATTCCGACACGGATACACGAGGATACGCGTCCGCAGAACACGCTCATGAATACTCCACGAAACGTCGGAGCGACCGTACCGGCGAACGCAATGGTTAGGGGTGAGATGGCCGGTCCGATAAATCAATGGGCGTTAGACCGAACGAATGTTAGGATATTGGCATAGGTCGGCATCGACGCAGATTGGTCAACCGAGCTGGCAACCGAGTGTAGCAACACGGACTCGTTCTCGACGCGCTGAACAAACGCGAGCGAATTCGCGACTCGCCACCGGATTCGGACACGAGCGAAACGTGTCGTCGGTTGAACAGCGGATCATCCTCCACCAAGACTCCGCGGATTACTCGCGCGATTTGATGTTCCGGAGACACTCGTCGAGGACAGGTGTCCCGCGTGGTGCAAGGAGCGAGCCCTCGTGATCGACACGTTTCCACTCGAGCACGCGGACGTGCTCTTTGCTCGGCTCTCGCACACTTCTTCGCCAAATCCTTAGAAGCTTTTCTCAGGAGGATACCCACCCTCGGTCGCGCTTTCTTCATGTCTCGAAGATCTTCCACGACATCTCGACGGCACTGCTCCGGTTCTCCGTGTTCTCCATGTCGTCGCTGTGACGATGACGATGGCGCCTCGCAGAGTACACCGATTTAACGGACGGGCTCTCGCACAATAGGCACTATGTCGTCCTGCGTGCTACGTCCTGTTCACGAGCGAGTCCGTTCGTCCTCGTTTTCTCTCTCGCTCGCTCGTTCGCTCTCTCTCTCTCTCTCTCGCTCTCTCTCCCTCTCTTCGGCAAAAGGTCAGGTCAGGCAGGGAACGCGCCGTGGTCGCAGAGGGCGTTTTCCCCGTCGCCGAGCTCGCGATGGATCATCGGCGGCGGTCAAGCCTTCATCGCGGCGCCACCCGACACCACCATAGACGACTCATCGTCGTCGCCGGCTCGCGTCGCCTCCGTGACCGACCGACAGCGGATGACGAGGAATCCTCGGGGCTCGGTTGCGGCTCGTGCGCGTACGGGACTGATCTCGAACGAAAGCGACATCTCCGACGAAGGACGGCGGAGGCGTCGGCAGAGTGGGGTGGCGTCGCGACGGCGACGGCGTGCGAAGGGCGAGCACGCGCATCCGCTTCGAGCGGCTTGCCCAAGTGCCAAGCGACGAGACGACCACCAAGTGGCCCTCGAGTTGGACCAACTTGCTGACCAAGGCGATGGGATTCCGGGTTGTCCTCAGGATTATCCTATGTCCTTAGGAGTAGAGGTTTCTATATGGCTCTCGTCCACGTTGTTGCATACGTTGTAATCTTCGTGCCGATGGAAACGCGAACACGCCGTATTCTCATTCACCTTGATGTGACTCTGCGTCACTTGTACGTTGAAACGTTAAAGAGATCGGTATTATTGGATATCGCAAGCTACACCTGGGTGATACTCGCGATTACCTTTCTTTATCTCTCTATCGTTTAGCGGATCGATTTCCGTCTGAAATTAACCACGTCTTCGGGGTTGAGTCTCTCTTTCAAGGCCGCTCCGTCCGCGATTAGCATCGCGCGATTAAAAAACTCCCCCAGTCGTTTGATTGCGAGTCGAAAACAAGAGAGAGAGAAAGAGATACTTGGGTCGATCTATGCGGACATTCCTCTTTTAGCCCGCGCGCGCTTCTCTTTCGATCCCCCGACAAGATCGTCGATTTTTCACGGCGAGACAATCAAAACCCGCGGGAAAAATAGGAATTACCTCCTGTCGCACGACTGCTTTTTATAGCTCGTGAAATACGCCTCTTTATCTCTTCCTTCTTCAGCCTTCCCCTTTATTTTCCTTCCCTCAACCACCCTTTTCCCATCTCCACTGCGGGTCTCGCCGTATAATGTGTTAAAGGGAGGGCTGATACTCGACAGTGAGATCGCGCTGATCGATCTGCAGGGCTTTTCAATTTCAGCTAAAAACGACTGCGCACCTATTTCTCATTGACTTACGAACATGCTGATCATTTTTTATCTTTCTGCGCAATCTGCCCGATAACAGAGCCGACAGAATTTGACATATCGAATCTCTTCGTTTCTCAAATTATCTGTCCTTCTTATGGACTTGGGCGACATCATGGGGGAAACATTGGATCGAGTGTTTTTATCGTTAATTGTTGTTTATCAGTAACAAAAGTGAAGCATGTGCTAAGTAATTGATACATCCCAGATACGAATTTTACATTACCCTTTGAAGCATCGAATTTCGACTTCGTTAAAGGTATCCGAAAGGGGATGATCGATTCGACGTTAATGACGTGTGCATAGTCTGTCTCGGGGAAGGAAAGGGCCAGAAATACTCAAATTAGCGCGTCGCATTTTAAATACGCCAGACGAGAATTACTCGTCGCGTCGGATGTCTATCGAATCGATAAGGCCCGAAAGCCCAAAGGAGTTCAGAGAACCGAGCGGATCGTTCGTTTCCTCGAGGAAATCCCGTATTAATGTCCATCCTTCTCGGGAAAGCCGCCGAGATCTAAATTTAGAACGGCTCTCATTTGTACAGCCCTCTTGTTTCCTCTGATTTTTGCGCAACTTCCGTGCAAACCAACCGACAGGTAAGCGAAATGAAACTAATCAGATTGGCCCGTTAGTCGGCCAAAGATAGTAGTCGCGAGTGGAGGGGGAAGGGGGGCGGGAGGGAGGAATATATATCGCACAGGCGAGTTCGAAGAGTATCGATAAAACGGGACAGGTTGCGTAGAGGTGCGTGTTAGACGCGGAGTGTCGCGTTTACGCGACACAACGTCTCACGAGTGGATTCGCAGGGTATGCTCCGTGGCCGCTTCAGCGGGGTCGTCGCTACTCTCGAGCGAATTTCTCCACCGGTCGATGGCTTACGCTTGCGCTCTGTTGCCACTCGAGCAGCAGCAGCAGCAGCAGCAGCAGCAGCAGCAGCAGCAGCAGCAGCAGAAGCAGCAGCAGCAGCAGCAGCAGCAGCTATACTCCACAGCTGTGCGCCGAATTTACGGCCACGAGAATGGCCTCGACACTCGCCCATTAGACGTGCTTCACGGTGAAGAGTATTACCGTTCGATAACCCGCAGATAATATCGATCATCGGCGAGACTATCGCGAGACGCTCTGTTATCGCGAGACACTCAGTCGACCTGGTCTCTTTAAAACTCGATGTAGGAAAACTTACCTTCTCTGGTCCTGTCCGGATCGAAGAGGCCAAATTAGTCGTTCGATGAATAAATCAACGGGACGGACAGCATGCGCGTATGATTTATGGATGAGCGATTATCGAAGATAATCGATCGCTAGCGAAATACTGTGTCCTCCTTCGTGGCTTTCAAATCTTGATAGTACCGCGATAACATCAGCCTTTTTTGTTATACATATGTACATATAGATTCCATTCTTGGGAGGGAAAGATAAAGAACATCTTCTGCTGCGTATATTTGCCAAGAGCAAATTCAAAGATAAAATTATTACGCACACGTCGATTTCTTGTGATGACAGTCAAATTTCATTACACAACATTATTTAATCCGGTCGAGTACATTGACTTGGAAGCCAGACTCGTTAGAAATCGACGATCTCCGCTGTCGATGTGATTCCGATGCGACGACCTCGGCCGTCTTGGAGTAACAGGTAGAATTCTTCTTCTCTGTTTCGGTAGTTTGCTGCGTGCCTGAAAATTCGCGATTAATCCTTTCGTGACACTGCACACACCTGCACAACTTTCGTGGCTGGTTTAAGATTCGTTTCATCGATTAAACGGCAATGTTGTAATTGGATGGTTACACGCGGAGGGAATTAGTAGACGCGCGCGCGAGGGATATAATGTGAGCACCTGCGTATGCGAGTAGAACATGGAGAAGTTGCTGACAATGACTGGAACCGGAAGAGCGATAGTAAGGACACCCGCCAGAGCGCACAGTCCGCCGATGAACATGCCGGGGAAAGTTTTCGGTGTCATATCGCCGTAGCCTACAGTGGTCATCGTGACCAAGGCCCACCAAAGGCCTCGCGGTATGCTGTCAAAATCGTTGTCAGGATTTTCCTGAAAAGTGTCCGTTGCGTTACTCGAGCCACTGCTCGGTATCAGCTACTCGAGAAAGCAGGCTAGAACTTTGATGGTCCTTGAAACTACCATCTTGCATCTTAGAAAAATTAAGTTGGACAAAATTTCTTTAAATTCATTTTTTATATCTATTCTTTTACGACAGATATATATTTTAAAGAAAAGAAAAGAATGGAGAACTTGAGATCATATGTCAAATTTTTCTCAACTAAAAATTAGAATTTTTTTTTATCAAAATGATATCCAACGTCCTTAAGATATTTCTACTGCTAGAGAAACGGAGGTGTACCTGCAAACGTTCCGCATAAAATATGAGACTGGCGAAGAGCACGATTCCGAGCACGAGGAAGAAGACCAACAAAGCCAGCTCTTTCGCGGACGCCTTGAATGTGTGGATAAGGATTCTAAGTCCGGGTGAGTGCCTCGTCAACTTGAATAACCGTAGAACGCGCGCTATCGATAAGAGCTCGAGATAGAGGTTCGGCTCCGCCGAGAACTCCGTGTAGAAGCTCATCGTCGCTACCAGATCGATCACGTTGACCGGCGACATGGCGAAACGCTTCAGGCTAGGACTGACCTGCAATTAATTCCACAACGTCGCGGTGTATCATCCAAGCCGCGGCAAGATGAAGGCGACTACTTGTTAATTATATCAATCGCGGAAATGCCGCGTGTTGCTTTTACATAGCGAGGTGTCGAGATAAAGAAAAAAACGAAGACGTGCACGCAACGATGTGAATCGTTTATTTCGAGAGCAGTTTTACGTTAATCGATCGTGTCTCTCGTGGCGGGCAAAACGGTACTTAAATGTAGAGAAGAAAGAGCACAGTACGATCATACGAGACAGCGGAGCACGATCTCCACGGTGAACCAAGCGTTACAGGCGTGTTCCAAGTATAAGAATGCTCGATGAGGGTCGGCGGTGTTTCCGATATCGCTCGAACAGTCTTCCGACGATTCCTCCTCGCACTCGTCCCCCGATGGTTCGGCCGACGCGTGACTCTTCACGCAGAAGCACAGCACCGACAGACAGGTGACAAGCACCGACGCGCAAGCTATGCACTTAGCCGTCAACGACGAGTACGGCTCGTCGAAGAGGATCCAGAGGCGAGATCGCAATCTTTGCCATCTCGTCAAGGTGCCACTGTGATACTCCTCCTCGAAGCCGAATGCCCGCGCGATTTCCTCGTCGCTGAGCTTCTCGCCCTCGACGTCGAGCTTATCGAGGATTGCCAAGGTAGCTTGCGTGTCTCGGTGAACGCTGTACGTACTCCAACAGCACGGCTCTACCTGCGGTAAGTCAACTTAATTAAGGAACTATTAAAGAACTCCGTGGGCGATACGATCGACCTGTGCGCCGATGAATTATGTCGAGTCGTTTCCACGTAGAGTGAAGCGTTAAAAAACGTCACGAGCCTGGGAATAATGAAGAACGAAACGGGTGAAATGAAGATGAGGAAGAAAGGTGTACGGGGTGAGGATACGAAACCGACCTGATTCGAGTCCAATCCCCAAAACTCCAGTTCCTGCTCAAAAAGCGGGCCGCACACGTCTACGGGATAATGCAACTTTCCCGTGCGATAATAATTGAGCACTTGCGCGAAAACACCCGGATGCCTGTCGTAGAAATATTCATTCAAAACCGGATCGTAATTCACCAAAGCTTCCGTCAACCGCGACAATCTCGTCGCCGGGATCTTCTTGAGCGTCGCTTTGTACGTCTCGTGTCGAACACCACCTACGTTCAATGTCACCCGATCATTCCACTTCTCGTCTCGCCGTTTCTTCATTTTGGGTAGCTTCTTCTCGAACAGTATGCGCAGAACGGGATCCGTTACAAGAGGAAGTTCAGGCAACGATTAAACGCAGCGCGCATATTTCGCGTCAATTGGCACATGGTCTGTACTTTAATTTAATTACTCATTGTCAAAATTCTTACGTGCATCTCCGCTGATTCGCGAGAAGAAAAGAAAAAATGAGGCAGGAAACACCGAGCGAGAAAATGTCTCGCAGTTATACGCTCTGCATCAGCGGAGTTCGTTTGATGACTATTCGACGGTGGGCGCAACCATCAGGTTCGGTAAAAAGGAGTGACCCACGCACGTACGTGCTTTCCTGTTCTATAAATTCGCGCGTGTTTATTTGCGTGGCCTGCCGCACACATTCGAATTCCGTCCAGTTCAGTAGGGTGTAAAGTCACGCACACAACTCGTAGCTTCATCGAGCTTCCTTTAAAAAGCAATGGAGAAAAAAATAGCTCTCAGACTTCGTCTTTTCCTATATAACGAAGACAATGGCGTCTGAAATATTTGCCGGAATCAGCCACACATCATACACATAAATTATATTGTACACCCGATGTTTTATGAAATAGAACTACAACAAAATATTTTTTTGCGTATATTTAGAATATTAAAATATGCATATATTAATTTTCTTTTGAAAAATATATTGATTACCTTCTTGATTCTTATAATTTACATTTAAGAACGTAATGACTCGTGTAGTTAATTATTATGAATAGCAATTATCTATAAAATTGATTATAATTTCAGTAATATAAGGTAATTTTTATGTTTTTTAATATAGATACAATAATTTAGGTTTAAAAAAAAAATAATTTATCATATTCGGAATCTGTCGGTACTAATGAAATCTGCTTTGATGTTTCAGGTATGTAGTTATCATACATGCGACCTCTCTGCAGCTACTGAAGAACTACGGTCGTATATTGTAAGCTGCTTTACTCGGGTACCACTAGTCCATTTCTATCAAGTTTTTAATACAACATTGTTACAAGTTGGTGATCCAAAGACCAAATAGCTGTAGTGAAAATCGGAAAGCGTGTTAATTTTACTTTCATTTCATAAAAAAATATCCATGCTACGTGCGATCATATTATATTATGTATAAATTATTATATTGTATATTATTCATATTTTATATTGTAAGTATTTAAATAGGATTTTTGAATATTTTTAATAAAAGTACAGATTAAAAGTTTACGCTGACTGGATAAATTATGTACACTATTATAATATTATAGCGCTCGCGTCCGGACAATCAATTCTCACATCAAACTTCGTCTCCAAAAGCGAGAGCGCAACAATATATACATCATTAAATATAAGTATGTATACGTATAGGATATTCTACTTTAATTTTCGCTCTTTGAAATTTTAAAAACTAAGAGTTTTGCACAAAAATTTTTCAAATAACAATGATGATTGTTTAAAATATTTCTGGCAAACTCATAGTTTTTAAAATATTAACATGTAAAAGTAAATCTGAGGAAACGCTCATATTACTTATTTAAGTTTAACGTTTGAATATAAATATATTTGATTGTATTATATATTTGACATACTTTAATGCATCTATTGTACATTATATATATATATATATATATATATATATATATATATATATGTGTGTGTGTGTGTGTGTGTGTGTGTGTGTGTGTGTGTGTGTGTGTGTGTGTTATAATAAACTAAAAAATAAAGATTTTTTATTATTAAATAACAATTATTACACCCATCCAACTTATATTCTTCATTTGAATGTAATAAAAAAATATTCATCTTGTATCTATTTCATATATTATATACAAATTCAGAAAATCCGCAATTTTCACATTTTGATATCAGGAAAACATCATCACTAAACAGCTGGCAACAGGTTCTAGCGGAAATACTTTTTCTCATATTCTATTTTTCTGATACAAATCCCCGAAAGTAGAGAAATCTAGTTTGTCAATTTCCGCGTTCTGATACTAGAAGAACATCAAGACACAAGAGGTAACAGGAGTTAACGACGACAACTTGGAATACCTCTTCGCACATTATATTCTCCTGACACAAATCCTAAAAATTAAAGAAATCTGCCGATTTTCGCATTTTAGTATCAGGAGAATATGAAGACACAAGAGGTAGCAGAAGTTTTTGATGAGAACTCGAAATACCTCCTCGCATATCCTATGTTCCTGATACAAATCCTCGAAATTGAAGAAGGTTTGCCGATTTTCGCATTTTGCTATTAGGAGAACATGAAGACTCAAGAGGTAGCAAAAGTTTTTGGCGGGAACTCGAAATACCTCCTCGCACATTCTATGTTCCTGATACAAATCCTCAAAATTGGAGAAGGTTTGCCGATTTTCGCATTTTGGTATCAGGAGAACATGAAGACTCAAGAGGTAACAGAAGTTTTTGGCGGGAACTCGAAATACCTCCTCGCACATTCTATGTTCCTAATACAAATCCTCGAAATTGGAGAAATGTTTGTCGATTTTCGCATTTTGATATCAGGAGAACATGAAGACTCAACAAGTAGCAGAAGTTTTTGGCAGGAACTCGAAATACCTCCTCGCATATCCTATGTTCCTAATACAAATCCTCAAAATTGAAGAAATCTGGTTTGCCGATTTTCGTATTTTGGTATCAGGAGGACATATATATTCCCAAGAGGTAGCACAAGTTTCCGGCGGGAACTTGAAATACTTCCTCACTCATCATATGCTCCTAATACAAGTCCACGAAATTGAAAAATTTCTATTTTGAGTTTTTCGCTCTTTGATATCAGGTAGATATAATTATTAAAGTGTTGGCAGGAGTTTCTGATAGAAATACGAAATACTTCCTCACTCATATGTTTTTCAAACAAATATATGAAATTAGTGAATTTTTGCTTTCGCACATTGATAGTGAGAGAATATTATATACAGAGAGATAGTGTAGAGTTTCTAGAAGTAATTTTTTATATTTTTACTTTTTGTTATGATGGAAAAGAAATGGCATAAATAAAGTGAAACAACCATGACTAAAAAATCTACATTTATTTATATTTAAATACACTACACTTTAGAAATATCGTAAAATATTATATATATATTATAATAATTTATAATATATAGTACATATTATATATATATATATATATATATATATATATGTGTGTGTGTGTATATATTTCATATACATAAATATATAATGTAAGCTGAAGGCAATGGGTATGTGAATGTAACAGATTATGCACAATATTTAATTGAAAATATATTTAATTAAAATTTTGTACTAAAAAATTTATTCGCAAATAAGATTGAAATTTATTTGTGTATATAATATGTATAGAGATATACATATAATCGAATATAATCGATGATTAATGAACTCATAATAATATATCAAATAATAAAGTATTAGGGATACCAATAGAATTATATTAATAGAATTTGATACATTTTAATCTAATGTGTTCTTTAGTATAGTTTAATATGTTCTAATATAATATAAAACAATGTGGTACAACATAGTACAACGTAATGCAATTTAATATAGTCTGATATGATTGATATGAAATAACTAACTTATTATTATTAGGCAAACTAGCATTTACTGCATTTGCCAGTTTCTAGTCTCTTTTCCCCTTTTACCTGAACTATATCTACTGCGCATTGAATATTTGTTCTCTTCTGTAATCTAAATAACAATCTTCAAGTCTTTTAAATTCCGCGAAGTATACTTCTTTCTGGAATAGTTTAGTTTTACCTCTACTAAATGCAAGGGTTACTCAGATCGTGTGCGATGTTAAGACACTACCGCGGTCGTGAGTATAAAAAAATAATAAAGTATATGTCACGAGAGACTGATGAAGATGTTGATCGTCTCAAGACTGCGTCAACGAAAATACACGGAACGCGTGTCTCTTGAACTTTACAGGGTGGTTCCGGCCTTTCGACAAAGAGGGTGACGGCGGAAGGGTGCGCAGGAGCTCCATCTGGTCTTGACGTGGCCGGTCACTCGTGTAGGCTCTTTCCTCACGTCGTGCTCGTAGGCGTCGGTATTTCCGCGCGCATGTACGTCGTGAAACGTGGGCGTCGCGGCTTTAAGGACGGCGCCCGTCAATGACGTCATATTTGTTTCATTCCACCGTGCCAGCACGCGTCCGGCTTGTCTTTTCAGTATTGCAACTGTGTCATCCCGTTTATCTTGCTCCCTTCTCTCCACCCTTACCACCGCCACCGCCGCCGCCGCCGCCGCCCTCATTCATCGCTCCGACGTGCCAGTTGTACTAGCGTGTTTAACGCGTCGCTTTTTTATCATACCTCTTTAGCTAATGCCATTGTCCCGTATGCGCACGTGCCCACGACGGAACTGTTGCCGCGTTCATTTCCTGGCTTACCTTTGATTCCGTAACGTCATTACAGCCTGATCATCGTTCGGCTAATTGTTTTACCAGCGAGGGATAGCTCGTTGTCCAGCTAACTCCTCGGCAAGGATGAGGTTGCTTCGCGGTAGCGGGACTTTGGGCAACTACTAAATAGAAGGGAATATTAAATATGCAGTGAAATACAGAGGAGTGTGGAAACAAACAGAAAGGAACTCACAGTTATGGATATATTGATAAATAGCATTAATTAATTAGGTCACGATTTTCCGCCAAGTAGGTCACCTTTACCTGTACACTCTACCCTGCACAGTGATCCATCGATATTGGCACGGCGGGAATTGAGGCTCGGTGTAGTCTTACTTCGGGATTGCTCAATAGAATCAGCCGTGAACATTTCACAGCTGAGGGTCTCACCGCGATTCGTAGACAATCGAGAAAAAGGCTATTTACAAAGCACGTCCACCCTATCGGGTGATTAAACGGCGACCCGGCTAAATATCACGATATTAATACGCCCGATAACGAGAGCGTGCCGCGCGGCTTACAAAGCGTGTACACGCGTCGCGAAGTGTGGCGAACGTTACAAATACCCCCACCTTGTCCGCCTCTCGTCATCACCATCCCTCTTTTCTCTGGAACATCCACTGTCTCGATCGCACCCACGCTCTCACACACTCCCTCCATTCATCCCCCTCTATCCACATCCCGCCGGCGTTTCCTCCACCCGATTCTCTCTCTTCCTATCGCGTTTCCACCCTCCCTATCGCGCGTCTCTCTTGCACCAGCTCGCGCAACCCCCGGTCGCTTCTCACCGACTCACTGGGGCTCGTCATCCCTCGCGTCTCGCGAGGACCACCGAGACGCGTCGCCTCGATCGTGTCCGCGTTTGCCAACGTCGTCGTGTCGGTGGTCGTCGTCGTCGTCGTCGTCGTCATCGCCACCGTCGCGCTCGTCGTTGTCAGGTGCTCCGGCCACGTTCGCAATCGCCAGGAGTCTGCCGACGACCGATTGTCGCGGATCGAGGCGCGAGTGTCGTCGCGGACGAAAGATACTTGGACATCCTGCTGCGATCCGAACTCTGCGCGTCGTACCGCGCGCGCGAGAATGCGACCATGAAGATACCGCGGCGGGCGCGAGACGCGCCGACGAGGTAGCAGCTCCGCGAGAACTACCACCGCTGGCTGTCTCGCGGGATCCTCTCGGTTTACCTCCCGGGACGCCGAACATTCCTCTCGTTCGAGAGGGAAAAAGCGGCTAGATCGATAGGCCAGCTGGTGTGCGTGGCCAGCGTTTTCACCAACGAGTACGGTGTCGCTGCGCGGGGTGCGGTCCAGGATGGTGAAGGCACCGAGCTTGGGATCCACCGCGGGCCCGGCGGGCATGAGGAGGATCCACCCGGGCCCCGAGATCGCCATAAATCCGAGAAACTTACCCACGGTCTCCGCGAACCTAACGCCCATGCGGGGTGATGCCAATGCTGTCGGCAGGACGACACCAGTCTATCATCCTCAGGTAGGTGCCTGAGACAATTAGGTGGACTTTGTCACTTTCGTTTCTTTTCATTTCTTGTACATGTTTAATAAAATAAAACGTGAACAATGAATTAAAAAGTACAAATAAATATGGCAACATGAGACTCGCCGAAAAGGAAGTTCTCGCGGAGATTAAGACGACTTTTTGATGTTTCATTTGCATTTAATTCGAAACTTGCGAGATTGTGATCGAGAACGATAAGATAATTAAAAGTCGTTAATTAAATGTCGTTTCATCGCGACACGCGCGGACCGCGAAATTGCGGGACTGTCGCGCGATGCTACATATGTCTGCGTTCGTAAACATTACTAAGTAATTTATAAGCGCGGTAAATATGTCACGGTAAAAATACACCTTACGCACGTTGCTCACTGTTGCGCAAAAAGAAAAAAAATGATTCCACGCGAACTTCATTTTGAATATAATCTTCATATTACGACAAGAGTTATATCTCAAAACGTTGTGGCTGTGCGGTGGCTAAAGTTCATTAACCACGTCCGTCACCATGACCAGATTTCATGAATTGTCGACGTTTTACCTTGGGCCGGTCTCTTCAACGAACATGCGAATTTACGCGTGCAATATATCCTTTAATCCTCTCGCCCATTAAAGCGATCTAATTAATTAGCATTTTTGAGTATCTCTCTTTCACGTGCACTCCCGGTTTCACTCGCCATTCGTTATTTATCCTCACCGTCTGCGCACGTTTACGATCTCGCGTGTGTGGGAGTAAAAGAGCCGACAATCGCCCACGTTTTTATTTGCGAACCTTTCTACTGAAAGACGTCGTTAACATTTGGAGGACCAACGAGAACTTCCCTTTCCGGCCACGAAGGACAATAATATCCCAATCGTCCTCATCCCCGGAGAATCGAGGACATTGCTCGCGCTTCGAAATCCGTTTCCTGCGATCGAATGTAGGTCAGTCCTATAACGAGAGGAAGAGAGAGAGAGAGAGAGAAAGAGAGAGAAAGAGAGAGACGCACTTCTCGCTCGGAAAAAACTGAAATGTTTTCCTCGTCCGTCTTCGTTGATTCTGTGCGCTCAGCAAGGGTAGCTCCCGAACGAATCTCATTACCCGACACTGATATAATGCGATAATCATTAGGCGGTTATAATGACCACGGCGCGGTCGACGGTCGGCAAAAGATATCGGAACTCCATGTTTAGCAAGGAATAATGCAAGAACGGTAATGAAGTCCGGGAAATTACAGAAGTTTAATGCAGCGACTATTACGATTTCCGATAACGCGGCCCGACACAATGAGCCGTATATAGCTATAGAACTTCGATGAATGGAACAGTTTACCGCACTCGATCGTAGGACGATACAGTTTTTAAACGGCCCGCAAAAGACAATACTCCCCCGCACAGCCTACCTTGTTTTGTTTCCTCGTTTCCTACCGGCGAAGTTGCGTGTTTCATTGCTCGTATAACGAACAACACTTTTCAATCATCGTTATTAGTACTTCGGCTTTTCAAGAGTTACATCTTTATTCCCTTTTTCGCGCTGAATTTTTTGCACCGCGAACAAATATTTTGCTCTTGACTGTTGGAACACGCGGGTACAATTTTTCTAACGGCATCCGACGCCGTTTTCGGATTTTCTCGCTCCCCCTCTGCACGCTCTCACTCTTAGTCTAGGTGAATACTATTTTGGCAAAGCAGAACAACGACCTCGATCTTCAACAAGGAATTATTCAATCGCCGCTAGGCAACTTACGAAGCATTGTTGTCTGTCAGTAAATTACAAATAAATGATTTCGTGGCGTCGATTGCTCCGAAGTTATTCTCTCTCTCTCTCTCCCTCTCTGCCTCTCTCTCTCTCTCTCTCTCTCTCTCTCTCTCTCTCTCTCTCTCTCTCTTCTATTCATATTTGCACAGATTGCTGATCCGCGTGTCAATCAACATCTCCCAACTCCCGAGAGATACCGTAATGCCGGCTGTTTGCGACAGGTGGACGTCTCCACGCAGGTAGACCTCCACGGAGGTTTTGGCGGTCCCATGAACGTCGATTGGGATCGTCGCGCGACGCCGTTGTATTCGCGCGAAGACATCAAGGAACAGTACTGCATCACCAATCGGCAGCTAGACGCCGTCGAGAAGTCCGGTGGCGGTTTTTTCGGTTGTCTGTCGACGAGAGGCCCGTCGCCGTGCAGCTCCACCAGGAACTCCATCCTATCGGCGTGCGTGCGTAGCGCGCCCAGCGACGAGAACTTGAGCGACGCGCCTTATCCACGAAGACCTCTTCAGATCATGTATCGCCAACCGCGCGGCTACGTCTTCGAGGACGAGGCGGACTGGATCGACAGTTCCTACTTTAGGCCGCGCCCTAAGTTTTGCACCGTGCCCGATCCGAAGAGGTGAGTAAAGCGACGGATCGATCTGTTTCTCTCTCTCTCTCTCTCTGAGCGCACTCCTTCGACGGATCTTACATGCGGAATCCAAAGTTGAGCGTCACTCATTGAGAATTCCACCGGAAGAACTTGCGTTGATACGTCGTCGGTTGCAATATCCGAGTGCTCCGCGAGTCGCTTGGCGGCGATGTATGAGAGCACTTTTCCCATGCGCGAATTTACGATAATGTTATGATGGATATAACATACGTTCGTATATAAACGTATATTCTCTCCCTTTTTCGTTCCCTCTTCCTTTTGTTTACTTTAGTAAAAAAAGTGGCTCGTATGAACTGGGAAGAAAAGTAGGTGACTGCTTATTACACGGAGAAAACTGCTATGGTTGCCGCATTCACATATTCCATGGTTAAAGAGAAAATTTGTTCGATTTTAAATTAAATAGATGTCGTATTATTGAAGTAATTGTTGTTGCTATATCCCCATCTATACACAACTATAGTTTTTATAATACATAATGTTCAGTTAATACATCCTCATATATACTGTTACCTCAACCGAGAGAATATTGTTGTCTCTCTATTGTGATCTGCAGAACAAGTATCATAGTTGAGAGATCTATAGGGCTTGGTTATACGGTAATAAGGATATCGCTCAAATACGTATAAACAGATAGCAAAGAAACTCAGTGTACCAATTCCAAAGAACTATAGTTACTACAACTACTTGGGTGTATGAGCAAAAAATAATATTAATATCTTATTGCGGCAACCGTATTCAGACAATGATATCCTGGATGTTTTCTCCATGTACACGCTTACGTATACACGTATACTCGTATACACGTATACTCGACACCTGCGGAGCGCGACATCGCTCCCGGCTATTTAGTAGCCGAGTGCTTCGGATATTTGGGGGCGAATTACTCCGGAGGGACGCGCTTCGAATGTATCCACTGATCGATTTATCAGCGGAGACTCCAGTAACGTAATTGATCGAGAGGCGTGTCGGAGCGCAATGACGAGCAATGTAAACGAAAAGCGACATAAGACTGTAATTCAAGACGTTCGAATGGCACGTCACGCGTTTCTTTGACCTCTCGTGAAAAATTCGCGAGAATTTACCGCGCTCGTATAGTCAGCTCGAGTGACGTCGAGAGATCCGATCGTAACGGCGACGACAACGACGAGCGAATGCGACTTTTGACACACACCTTGTACGTCGAGGAGGGTCGTATCTGGTAACGTTATACCTCCATTGATCCACGAACGGGCAACGTTGCTATGGTTTTAGATAGACCTTATAAAAACGATATTTATACAGCGCACGATGTTCCATCGGCTGTTACGTGCAAAACCTACCCGGCGGCTTCTCCTCAGAGGGTAGCATGCGCGCCAGGGGAGTTGGGTTTATTTCTGATTAGCATGAGTGCCGCGCGTCCACCCGTTTTATCAGCTTTTTAAGGTCAACGGAAAGCGATCGATTAAAAAATTATGTTTGCACGGAAAATCGCTGCGCGAATATGCAGAAAATAGTCACGGGATGTGTATAACCGATAGATTGGATCACATAGACGCGGCTAACTCGTGCTAACGATCCCGCTCTTCAAATTTGTTCATTTCCTTTTTCCCTCGAGCACCCGTTTGTACTTCCCACGCGATTGTTCCGCGATCAATCTTACCTGGTCTGCGCGACAACGGCTCACGCTAAAAATTGACGTTTAATATACGCGATCTCTAATAAGGTCATCTGCTCGCCGATAGAATGACACGCTGTCACTCCGCTTCCTGCGATAATACCTGTAACATGTGTAATCGGGCTGTATTTAGTACAATGCCTATGGACACGACAATCCTCCCGACAACACGCCTCCCATTTAATTCGCCTCATTTTCATTATCGGGGAAAAAAGTATACGTGCGCGCCCTTTTTATTTCCCGCAGAAAACTCACAATGTGTGTATTTTTACATCGGAAATGAGAAAAATTTTTCACATTTATAGAAGCATTTTACCAATGCCCAACTTTGAACATTTTTATTGTTTTGAACTTCGTGCTGAATACAAAATTTCTCTACCATTTCGCAAACAACCACGTAAAATTCTCAATTATTAGTCAAAGAAGATTGGCGTATAATTGTCCACGATAATTTACAAGAACCTCCTGTAATTAATAACTAAAAATCTACGTGGTCATTTGTGCAAAATAATAGCGAACTCTTGTGTTCAATTCGATTGAGAACTACTAAGTTGGAAGTTTAAATATTCGTATTCAAAAACTAAAACTATAAGAATGTAAGGTTAGATATCATAGTGTTGTCCAGGTACTGGTACTTTCACTTTAACCCTTACGATCGGTCGATTTGACGACCCCTAACTTTCTGACTTCGAAGATATACATGGGTGCCGGAAGACGAGGAGTCCATGAAGTTGGAGGGACCGCGACCGGTGCTACCAACCGTGCCTCCCAGTGCGATGACCACGGCGACGCAAGGGCCACAGCCTCCGAAGACGAAGCACGTGAGCTTCGCGAGGTCACACACGCTTACGTCGTTCGACGTTCCGAGGAGCAGAAGTCCTCCGGAACGTCTTATAGACTCGCAGCCAACAATGCAGAACACTATACTGCCTTTGTCCTTGCCCTTGGTGCATCCTTACCCTGGCGTCGAGCCACGTATTCTTTTGCTCGGTGAGTGTGTGTATGTGTGTGTGTGAGTCTCATACGTTTCGATGGCGTGTTGCACATGGAAAAGTTTCACACATTACAAGTGCGCATAGACTATAAATATACCTCTCTTTAAAGACGTATACGCGATCTATAAATACTCTTTACACTACCGCGCGATGCTATAATGTTTCGTAACGGTCTTCTCGAAAGGATATCCGCTTTTATTTACGAGCGCTCAGCTTGTGACGGATAATAAACTGTTAATTTATCGAGATATACGCGCTCTCTTAATTCTAGTGCAAAATATCTCGCGCTATGTAACCAGGACTGCGTGTGAGCGATCAAACTCGTCTCGCAGTTTTGATCCTAAGCCAAGTATCGCAAATTAAGTGGCGAAAGTAGTTACAGCTATTTACTCACAGCTGGCCGGCCGCTGGCGCTCTAGCTCGTCGTAAGCTAGAGACTATAACGCTCGTGAAATTGAGAAGCATCATCTGGGAAACAATGTAATTTAAAATGTCCGTTGGCGAATTGCTGATTAACGTTAGATGGAACGATCGACACCCAATCGAAATATCGTTAAGAGAATTTTTTTCCAATTTTTCTCGACAGACTCCGCGGGCGAGGATTCAGTTCGCGAGCGACTTTTAGCGATTTATTTGTTCCAGAGCAACCACCGAAGCGAGGCGCGATGAAGACACAGGCGACGCAGACAGAGATCCCGGCGATGTTTCGCGGCCGTGTACATCCGGTGACACTCAGCCCCAGGACCATACATCGTGTCAAGATGGTTTCGCAGGGCGCGCAGACGAACGGCGTGTTCAATGGCAGAAAATTGACGAAAAGTTACTCGGAAGCTGGACAATTAGGCACGCCACTCGGCCAAGTTGGCGCGCCTACCAAAGAGGAAACCGAGCACGAGCCGCTCCATAGAACCCAAAGTGAGGAGCCACCGAGGTCGCCCTTTCTTGTCTCAACGACACCACCTCCATTGCTTCCTTCCACCACCATCACCACCATCACCACCACTGTTGTCGTTGAAGCCTTGCCAAATGGGGATATCATAGTTCCTTCCGTCAACGTTGTGAGTATCGTCACGCTAATCTTTGCATTTTACGAGTCTCAACTCGTTGGGGGTAAAGAGATCGCTCTTGAACCTTTGTAGCTTTGACATTTCTCAACACTTGAGCGATTGATTCGCGCGAAAAGATACGTGGGAAATAAAACTTAAGAAATAAATAGAAATACTAGAAATAAATACACTTGACGATATATACGCTCGTACGTTTCCAACGGCGATTTTCCCACGGGATAAATAAACAGACAAACCCTTTCCTTAACAGTGGGTATAAATGCCAGGATACAGCTCGTATATTTTGTTCTCGTTTCAGCCACTGGAGCATCGTAAATCTTTTGATCTAGACGACCAGGAGATCTTCATAAATTTCAAGCCGGCTCCAGTGTCGCCAGATGCTCGGGCGCTCCTCAGCCGGATTTCCGAGCCCACCCGCAGGTTCCTTCCTCTCCAGAAGACCTTCTCCGACGGCGAGATCCGCGTCGAGAGACGCGAACTCATCGGGGAGACCGGCGAGCCAAGTTACCCTCACACCTGCAGAAGGAATCACCAAGATCCTTGGGGCAGAACTGTCAGAGCACCCGTCCAATTTTCCTCGACACCTGAGGATCTGTCCTTGCTACGAATCGCCTCGCCCCATGAGGATCATCATGAAGAGGTGAGACGCGTGTCTCCTCAATATTTCTCTCGTTGATATAGATCAATCTTCACGAGTCAAGCGTGACAAGCAGCAGCACGAAATTGCACGACAATTTATCGCATTTCTTCAGGAGTTCCATGAGAATCTGATACGTCGCGGTCTTTTTCGGAAAAGAAGCGTGTCGCTCGAGGATGGTGTGCAGGGTCTATCGTCGGACGACTTTATGCTTCCTAGGTCACTTCCAACTTCGCCCACGTCGCCGACCGCAACGGCAGGTGTGTGTCACGTAACTCGATATACATTATCAAGTTCACTGATAATAAATGAGAAGAGTCTAACGATATCTTCAACATTGTTCCAGCGCCACGCAGAATCTCGCAGAGCCCGAAGGGCGACTCGCCGAGCCGTGCGTTGCTGCACACCACGTTCTGTCCAGTCGCATTCAGCGCTGGGACCGGCATAGCCGGCACCAGTATCATTGGCCAACTGACTTCTCCGTTCGCATCGAGCGATTCCCTGACGAACGACGTGACGAGGGACCACAGCGATGGGATATGGAACGAGTCGCAAGCGACGGTACTCCAAGCTGACTCGTTGGCTTTATTGACCCCGTCCTCAAGGAGGAGGCATTTGTTACTGTTGCAACATCAGCAACGTTCCTCAATGGATACCGAGGCGTTGGATGTGGAGGACGAAGTGGAGCCTTGCCCACCGAGTCCGAGGATACGTTTGGAACCTGCCACTCCGGTACAGCCCCTCACGCCGAGGTAAGATGCAAAAATATTTTACGAGAATTTTAATAGAGATACAATAGTTTTTTTTTTAACGTATCGTTAAGGCTCCTGGCTTCTCACCGCGGGGTTGACTCTTGATTGTCAGAAGCGAGAAAATACACGCTGAAAGTTTTTCCAAAATACGTTATAAAAAAATAATCGTAAATCCAAATGCGTAAATAAAAAAAATATAAAAAAAAGATATATCTATAAAATGACACAGATCAAACATAATGCGAGCGTTTTCCTTTTGTTTCTACAATCAATAAATAACCGTAATAATTACTGTGACATACAATCTTCCTCTTTAACCTACTTTTTCTCATAATTTTATCACGTATTAATTTTACGGCTATTTATTAATCAGTTAGCTGTATCGCCTTCTTTTAAAAGTGTGTACCTAAATTGTGTTGCATGACGAGTATACTCGTCATAATGCTAAAAATTGCCATTTCTTCATGACTCATACACAGCTAACTGATTAATTGTTAATAAAAGAAGTGTTTGGACTATTTTAAAGATCTGCTTAATCGATTACAAGTTTTATTTTTAAACGTATCGTTTTATTTTAACGTATTTTGGAAAAATTTAAGGAGCCTTAAATCGATTAGCGAGACTACGATCCTTGTAGCTATTGTACTGATTGATTTGGAAAAGTCTCATGATTGTCGGCGTGACTGTTATCGAACGTAGTTAGTGATTATGAGATTCTCCCCTCGGCGCTGTTGCGTGTCGCTTTATTTATAGAAGACACTTTTTGCAGACGCGCATACAGAATACAAGATCTGTTACCGCCCGAGTTTCAGCAAATTTACTACAATGATGTATCCGCAACAGCACGTTTTTACGCGTACGATATGTAAGGCTATAACGCATTCTGACCCGATTTCATAGTAGCCCCCAAGCTTTTTGACTTGAGTATATCTTTTGATGAATCATCCTCACGGCATCCCGAAGTATTTGATTATTACACACACACACACACACACACACACACACACACATATACATACACGTGTTGGCATACTTGAAAGCGGACATGTTTCTGCGTGCATAATTAATACATAATAAAAAAATTGAAAAAAGGACATTTATAATATTCAATAAAGCAAAAATTATTTGTATAAAAGACTACATATTTCTATTAAATTAATTCTACGTGTATTCTTCAATAAACTGTCTCGTATTACAAGAAACTACCTGAAAAGACGTTAACGTTGGACGATGTCCGTTCAAGATTGCAACATGCTATAATTTCAAATTGTAAATATAATCTTGTAAATAGCCTTTTTATTGTCACTTCTGACTACTAATCATTTCAACGAACATGCCATCATTTATCGCAAATGCATACGCCCATAATCCTCACGTTTCTCCCGTTCCGAGTGATATCTACCTACCATCGACCTACACACGTCTCAGTGATCACGGCCAACGCCCGCAACGCTTGTCCCCCAGTATTGGAGTTGCCTGACCACCCTGTCGCTGGACTCGTATCGTCACGATATATCGCGATTAAATCCCGTGTCTTTTCCCCTTAGTATCGAATCGTCCATTTCCGCGAGCAACGGTCGCCCGAGAAGCGGATTACGCCGCGCGAGCCCAGGCCCACCACTGTCTCAGCCCCAGTCACAGTCGTCGAGTGAGTTCGGTTTGAGTCTGGCGAGAACTGACTCGGGCCGCACAAACACCGATCTCTCCGAGACCTCCGAAGATTATGTCACTGCCAATACTTCTACGGAAACCGGGACCACCACAGGTACGTCCGCCACGACCAGCTCTTGGTCGAGACCACCGCAGACGTCCAGCGCCGCGGCATCGGCACCTGCTTCAACCACCGCGACCGCCGCGGAAGGCAGCTCCTTCGAAAGTGCCAGCTCAATCTACAGCTTGGCGAGGAGTGAGGTAAGAAATCGTCGTCGCTCCATTCACCATTCCCCACCGTCGAGTCGCGATCATTCGATGGCTCGTCTCGTCCAATGATCATTCAGACAGATTCGCGACCTGAAATATCGGCAAACTTCAAGCTTGCGACTGTCTCAATTTCATCATCAGGCCGTGGTCGAGGAGCCGTGTAGTCCGCCGCCAATCTTAGAGGAAGCGGAAATCGCGTTCGGGCTGGAGATACCTCCGTCGTCGATGAGGTCCAGCAGCAGTAGCAGCTCAGGTAGCTATGACCTGAAGGACGCGATGGCTGATCCTAATCATCCTAATCATGAGTTGGAACAAGTTGCTCCACCCAGTGGGCACACCTCGGAGACTGAATTGGATCGAGATGTGAGTGCCCACAGGATCATCCGTCTGTAGTTGTCGAAAGAGAGACTTCAACTAATCGCGACACGACTGATTCTGACGCAGGAGGGTCACCGATCGTCGTCCGGGGGTTACGCCGAGTCGCCACCCGACGTTCGCATGTGGAGCGAGGAAGAGCGGCGTCGCAAGAAGAAAACCTTCAGTCTGGACTTCCTCGGAACTACCAACAACGTTGAAACGGAACACAGTGTGGAGCCAGTGTATCCTGAGAAAGTGGAAGTCAGTCCGACACCTAGCCATCGTCACCGATCGAGGAGCAAGCCAGCGTCCGCTCGAAGTCCTCACCGAAACAACAGGAAACGAGAGACGGCGACGCAACAATCGACGCAGCTGCAGCAACAGCAGCAGCAGCAGCAGCAGCAGCAGCAGCAGCAGCAGCAGCAGCAGCAGCAGCAGCAGCAGCAGCAACAAGCGCTCAGCCACAGTCCTCAGAAAGAGGAATGGAAAGTGGAGCAGGCCGAGGATGGTCCACACGCACCGACATCCGACGACTCGAGCTGCAGTCATCATTACCACATGCATCATCATCACCATCATCACATGCACCGAGAAGGTGCAGAGAGCGGCAGGCATCGTCGCACCAGGGAGAGTCCACGGAGGAAGACCAGCGGTTACCTCTCCACCAGGAGACGTAGCAACGAGGTGAGCATGGTAGAGGGAGTCTGTCCTCGAAAAGGACTTGAACCACTATGTGAGAATTGATTAAACAAAACACATCTGTAACGAAAACACTGCCGATATTTTGCTTTGCTTCTTTTTCTTTTTTCAAGACTATTCGCTCGATATCCGGTGATCGTGCTGTGCAGGACAAGAACGCAGCGATAACTGGCAGTTTGCCACGAAGAAGATCTCGTCTCGCGGACGATATCGTTTGCTCCAGTCGCCTGAGTCCCGGTCGTTATCAGCGTAGTCCGGGCCACAACGGTCAGCGCGCGATTGTCATGGAGGCGCAGAGTCCGGAGGCGAGATTGAAAGCTTTGTCGGCGGAGTCCTTGAGGTCCGTCAGTCCGGGCAGCGACAGTGTGTTCTACAGCGAGAGCGCTGATCAGCCTTGCGTCGCTGTCGCCGCTTTGGACGCCGCGCATTGCCATCATTGCGGCAGAGAGGTGATATATTGCTTATCGTGCATTATTCATTTGTCTCTCACTCAAACTCTTTGCTCGCGAGTGCGCCTCCACCTCCTCCTCCTATCGCACCGTTTCCTCTTCATCCGAGAGAAGAGGAGCATTGCTCTCCGAAAGGGAATGTATTCAGCTTTATGCCACTTTCGGCACTGAGCCTTTGACCGACGTGGCATTGATACAAGAATAATTTTGAGTTTCTTCATGACCAGCGAAGGAAGAGAAGGGGGACGAGACCATGAGTGCGAAGAGTCTGATGACACTTGTATCACAATTTACTTAGAATTTCTTCCGACGTGATCTCCTTAGCAGCAGCCGCTTCTGAGATCGCAGATTGAACGAATTAGCGTAGTGCACATTGAATATCTCTGCATCCTCATGGTAGCTCTCGATTAGATCTCATTAGACGCTAAGCGAGTATGCCAAGTGTGTATCTGCTAGTGACTCGAATGTTTCAAGTGATTCTGCGATTTCCTCTCTCTCTGAATTCGCCTGCGGTCGGTCTAAATCACACCGCTCGATCGTTATTCTCTCGAGGTATCGCCTCGGTCCTTGAAAGTATTCATAGAAATTCTCTAAATTTTCTACCGTTTAGCAATTCGAGGATCGCGCTTCACTTCTCGTAGTTCGCTTTCTATCAGCATCACTCAACTGTTCCTTTTGTTTGCTTCGTAAACCGACACGAGTTGTGCGAATGAGATTCTTCAATGCGAACACAAAACATTCGAGATATCTCACGGTAATTAATGATGAATGCGAAGTAGCGTTTCTCTATCGTCGTATCTACTTATCTGTCCGTCTGTCTGCCTCCTTTCTCTATCGTGTGTGCCCTCCTGTTGCTTCACCCCGAGGTGTCGGAAGAGATCGTTCGACCACCGGCAGGTTTCGCGGACTCCCCGGAGGGACACAGGGCGTCCTCCTCCAAACACGTCACAGGGCACCGGCTGTACAAGAAATTCGACAAGAGGTATAGGTCGGAAGATCGCGGCGACAGAAGGCACCGTCGCAGCAGCGCCGGCAGATCGGACATCCGGGCCAAATCGGAGGAAAGAGCCACCCCCCGACCAGGAAGCAGAGGTTCGATCGATGACACCGCCAGTGGCAGGAAGAGACTGCAAGCTCGAAGTACCGACGCCAGCATGGAGATTCTCACAGGTCGGTTTGCCGAATGCTACCACTGAATAGCGTTATCGCACATCTCGATATGAGTAACAATCAGTCTGTCGGTTTCTTCTCAACGACAGGGAGGGAAGACGAGGATACTTATGTGGAGCCGTACACGAGCAGCGAGTGGATTTACATCGGTGATCTCGAAGAGAGTCACGTGTGGAGGAGACCAGACAGCAGGGACGATGACGACGACATTACGGAGATTGGCGGTAAGGAACGACGGGACTCTCAGGAATCCACGGAGAGCGAGAAAAATTTTAAGAAAAGATATCAAGCGGCCACGCACAGGATGGTGCATCGGAAAAGCAGCGGCGAGATGTACAAGAGGATACAGACCAAATGTTTCGGTGAGTCAAGCCGCGCTATTTTTATCCCCTCGACGGATTTTACAAAGATTTCGGTGGTTTTCTGAGATTTTTGCGTCAAGTAACTCCGTTGTGTGGATCTTTATATCCTCTCGCGTGTTTTCCCTTTTCTATTCTTACGTCCTGTCGCACACGCACGCTCAGGAGTTATAATTAAAAGCCATCCTGTGAAAGCTATTTTCCTCGAATGTCGATCTCCAGGAAACGGATCCATCAGCACGTACCGCACTATCGCGACCGTTAATCATAACTATGGGCGCAATGTTTTCCAAGTGCTCCTGTGTGTGAAATTCGTGAAGCGCGTTCCCAAAATTCAATCTCCGTGCTGTAAGATCATCCGGTTGGATGACGTCCGACACGACGCGACGCGCAAGAAGCCGCTTCGATTCGCGCATCGTCGAAGAATGTTCTTAAACCGTCTCGCAAAGGCATCCTGCAATAAATCCGCTAGCAAGGGGAGAGTTAGGTAGCGAGGTAATGAGGGCAAGATAAAAAGAGAAAAAGAGAGAAAAAGTCTGGAAAAAAAGACCAAGAAAAAAAACAGAACAAAAAATAACGCAAGACAGGGGAGATAAATAGATGGATGAGTAAGATCGGTCCCATCATTCTCTGAAAGTCTTTCAAGGGGCAATCGGAGATAGCAAGCCTTGAGTGGAATATTTTGCGAAAAATCAGAATAATCGGAACACGTTGAATTCGCGACAATCGATCTGTTAAAAGTGAGCGCTCACGAGGATTCGAAAATATCCGAATTACGGGGAGACGCGCGACAAGAGGAATTAAGAGGACGCGTGGAGGAGGGAGCGAAAAGAATTAGGTTACGATAACGTGCGAAAAAAGACGTGCGGCTGAGAGAAAAAAAGAGAAAGATTGGTGTAGAGGGAAAGAGAGAGAGAGAGAGAGAGAGAGAGAGAGAGAGAGAGAGAGAGAG